AGTCCGATGGAGGCCACGCTCGCCATCGAGGCCGACCTCGAGAACTTCGCCTCCGCGGGGGCGGTGGCGGGGAACGGTATGTCGTACAAGGTTGTGTGCATGCTGCTGCTCCTGCCGCCGCCGTCGTCCTCGTGATTGTTGGCCGCTCCTTCGCAGGCGGAAAAACCCCACAGCGATCTCCAGCCGCCGCCGCCGCCGCGCATCGTCGGCGAGGAGGAGGAAGCGGCAGAGGCGCGCGACTGCCGCTGCTTCGCGTCCGCCTCGCAAGCCGCCACCGCCGCCGCCGCCGCCGATACGGGCGACGCCGCCGCCGGTCGCCGCCCGGCTGCGTCGCCGCCACCGCCGCCGTCGCGGTTGTACCGCAAGCGTTCTTCTTCGTCTGGGACGGAGGAGATGGATGTCCGGGGAGACGAGAAGCCGCTGCTGCCGCCGCTGCCGCCGCCGCCGCCGGCCATAGAGGTAGTCGGGATGTCTACAGGGGCGGTGCCGGTGCCGATGGAGGGGCTGGGGATGTCTGCGGGGGCAGGGCCGGTGCCCGGCGGGAAGAGGCCGTTGACGGGGGTGACGGTGATCCCCTTGCCGGCGTAGACGCCGACCACGTTGAGGGCCACGCCACAGCAGGCGTTCGCGTACGCGAGAGTCATGCGCAGGGGTTGCATGATGGCGTCCATGCTCGCGGCGACGCTGTGGCAGCCCTTGCGCCGCAGGAAGGAGCTTACGCACTGGCACCTGCCGCGCCGCAATTTGTTTTGTTAACAAGCATGAACACGCGGAAGAGGCGAAAATACTGGTATGGTTGAGACACCCAGCGACCGATGGGAATCGAAGGAGAAAACACAACTTACGCGTTGGCAACTGCCGGTTTACTAGTAGTATCACGCATGAGCACGCGGAAAGGCGAGAATGCAATGCTGTTGTGGTTGAGACACCAAGCGACAGATGAGAGGCGAGGTGAAAACACACACTGGCAAGTGCTACCCTCTAGATGTGGTGCCCATGTGTGACGCACGTCGACGTGCGAAAAAAGTGACACACAGAGCGACGACGCTGGGCGAGACCGGCCCACGGCACACAGAGCACGTGAGCGGGTCCGCCAAAGAGCTGAACCATCCACCACAAGACTGCTGTGGAGTCTTTCCATCGGTCAGCCCGAAAGAGCTGCTGCCTGCCCACGCCACATCGCGAAAGACAAACACACACACACGCGTGCACCCACATTGTCCAGCAGAGAGGGAAGTTAAGGACGGCAGGGTCGGCCTCCAGCGCCTTAGCGACCGGCATTGCCACCGCGTCCAGCACCGCCTGCTCCTTTCCCTTCATGAGCAAGAAGTACCCCTTGAGCGTCTTTATCACGATCACGGCGAACGACCCTGGGTCCTCCATCATGCTCAGCAAGAGTTCCGCCTCGTTCGCCTGACGGACGAAGAAAAGGCGACAAACGGGGTTCCGTTTTACATCCCAGAGGGGTGGGGGTTACTACGAGGTGCGGGTTATCAACTGCCGGACTGCTGCTGTCACTTTGTATCGAGAAAAAAACGGACACTCACACTTGTGGCAAGACGAGAGTCTACCACAAAACCACACGCCCCCCCCCCCCCAAGGTACCTGCGTGGCATACTTGTAAGGGCGGCCAGACAAGAACACTCTCCCCCCCCCCCGGCCAATCAGGCGATAATTGTTGTCGTAATTTCAGCGCTCTGCCAAACAATGACAACTACAGATGCAAGAGTTTCACAGAACGCATAGCCGCAGCAGTATTTCTCTGCGGCATAAGGAAGCGGCAATGGTAGTAGAGGTATCTGTTGCTGTAGAAGTAGCAGCAGGAATGGCAGGTAGGGGATAGATGTTGTAGGAGGAGCAGCAAACAGTTGTAGATTTAACAACTGGTGCTGTTTAGTAGCCGTGTAGTTGAGCTCTACAAACATGTCATCAAAAGCAACCAATCTGGCCAGTTGGCGGGGTCGTACATTTCTTCTTCTCCGACGCCGAAACAGCCCCGCTCGTCGCAGACAATGCTGGCCTTACTCTCAGACCTTTTCTTTGTGCTGCGTCGCCACCCCTGCCAGCCTCTACGGTCTTCTTTCTCACCATCGCCCCAAGCGTCGCCATGGTCGGCACGGGCTGCTGCGGGGACGCTCTTGCGGCCTCCACACGGTCCGTCTTCCGGTAAAGCTGGAGGAGCACGTGGGAGAAGAGCGCGATGATGCGGGAGAGGCTGCCCCCTCCGGGCTCCGGGTTGGTCTCCCCTCGCAGGTGGACCTTTTGGGGCCTAATTTACACGGCAAGAGCAGCAAAGATCACATCGTGTGCCGCAGGGGTACGGAATTTATATTCGTTGGTTCAGGGCCCCAGAAACGAGTTGTACAACAACAGGGGAACAAAAAAGAAAAGGGGGGGGGCCCAATGGACCAATAGCAGGGACAAGTAGAGCAGGGGGAGTACAACAACGGGTGAAACAGGGGGGGGGGGGGGGGGGGGGGGGGCGCTAAAGTAACCGCTACAGTTAGAGGAGGCCATAGATGAGAGAGAGTCGGGGCCAAGGAAGGGCCATGCTTTCCTCGTATCGCATCAGCAAGACCGCTTGCGGGCTACATCTACATCTCATCCGGTGATACATACGTTTCGAAAGCGCGTTCTTTCTCCCGGACACAAGAGTGGTCCACGCCAAGGACCAGAAACCTAACCGAGACAAAGACCGAAACAAACTGGTCGGCAGCAAGTTAGGTAGCTAGCACCGAACAGCAGTTGCCGGCACGTCACGTGGAAGAACGCTCTCTCACCTGATCTCCTTGTTGCATGTCACGTGCAGGAAGGTGCTCAGCACGCGAAGGCTATCTCGCACGTGCCCTCCCACCACAAGCTGGAAGCCCAAGGGCGATCGGGTGGGGAGTTAAGGGCGTGGCGCGATGCACAGCAAGACAACAACACAAGAACGGCGACCAGGGTCAGCCGTGGACACAAGAGTCGATGGCGGGAGGCTATCGCTCTCGGTACGCATCTACCAAAGGGGCGATTAGTCTTGTGTGATGCGATGCCCATGTGTGTGTGGGTGTTCGTCCTATCTATTCTGGCGCCGGTTTACAGGACTTTCGGCGTATGTACCTGACGTTATCAGCCGGGGTCACACAAGAGGAAGGCCACACAGCAGCTTTTTTCACTAATTTTTTATTGCCCCACCTTTCACGTACGAGTACAAAAGCTCCATTCTTAGTCCTTGTTTCGCGTTTCCAACGAGAGCCAGCGCTAACCCCAAAGCCCAACTCACAGACAGGTGTATTGTCAAACACGACACTCCACGCCGATGTGGGGGAAAATGCTGTCGCTGTGTGCACATGCCGCCATGTTTCATGTACAGCGCAGGTCGTCCCGCAGGTAGCAAGCATCCATTTTTTCATACTACGTGCGAAAAACAAGCGGCGTCCGCCCTGTGCCGTTTGACCAACCACAACGGGAAGGACAACTCCCGATCGCTAAAAAGAAAAACATCCGCCTACCCCCAACCTAACATGTTCCGCTGCAGTGCCCGCTCAAACAACACTATGCTGACGGGAAGAGGAGTGCGCACCTTGTTCGACTGCGCGAGCTCTCGGTACGCCTGCTGCGCGAAGCCGATGTAGCGGTAGACCTTAGATCGGTCCAGGAAATGCAAGTGGTACACCACCATCACCAGGTAGCAGCTCACCACCTGCGTTGTAGGTTGTTTGGGTGTTTGGAATAGAAACAAATACCATCGCAGGCGTTTTTCTCTTTGTCGGGGGAACGGCGGCTAGCTACTGATGTTACCTGTCTCGAAATTCGTACTCACAACTGTTCTCGCTTCATACAATGACCAACCCGCCTCTGATTACCAATCGACAACGGTTAAGAGGTGTAGACCTGCGGGTTTTTTCTTTGTTTTGGTCGTTGGGCAAGGGCGGTGCAGGCGTCTGAGGGCACACGCACACAACGACACCTTCCCACCAGGCGCGGAGAGCGCCGAGATCAGAGAAGAGAGCAAGCGAGGACGGCTGACTGTCGGTCCGTGTACGAACCGATTGCACACGCGCGATCGCCGCCCGAAAGACCGACGAGACAGGAAGCAAAATTAACCAACCCACAGCAGCGCCCTTTCAGCGCAGCCGAAAATCGGAAATTCCTCTCAAATCAGCCACAGCGGCCTCCCGGGCCAACCACAACCACCCGCTTACATCGGCCACAACCTCTACAAACCCCACACCAACAACCAACTTCGTCACCCCCCCCACCCTCCAACTGCGCTACAAGCGTAGTAAGCACAATTCGTACCTCGGGTATGAGCGCGTCAAAGCAGTCCTTCAGGTGTATCTGCGCCCTCGACATGTATGCGCCCGCCGACGACTGGTCGCCACAGAACACCGCCCCGACAGCCACGCAGCCCAGCAGGACGGCCTTGCGGGCGTGGTACGTGTTCTCCTCCGCCTTATCATGCGCAGCAAGCAAGTGGCGGAAGCATCCGAACGTGAATGTACTGCTGTGTACTTCATGTGCAAGGTAGAAGTACATCTTCGCTGTTGGGCCGCGGGCGACGGTTTCGGATGTACCAAATGTACTAAATAGGGGAAGAACTATGTGAACCCTTCGATTTGATCCGCCATGCTGATACAAGCATCCGGACTTGGGGCGGTTGCTTGATCTGCCTCTGTCGACAAAAGCTCGTCTCTGGCTACACAGCCGTTCTTGGTCCACGTTTCGAAATGAAAAGACACAGCGAAGCCCTCCCCTCCCCTCGCTACGCCTACACGTGCACCCCAGCCAGCACTAGTACCAAGAACGTTTACCGCACGTACCCGCATTACTACACTGAAACGACATACTGCTGTACGTGCACCCCAGCTCTAAAACATTACAAAGAACGTCTCCCGCATCTTTACATGCACGAACACCCCCGAACCGACATGGTTGCTTGTACACACCTCTGACGCGGCGAGTCCAGGGACGACGTCCAGCGGCAGAGGGTTCATGGCGTCGCGGATCACCGTGAGGCATGTGAGGGGGATGAACTTGTTGACGCTGGATCACAATTTTTGTTGCGTGCGTGTTGGTGAAGGAAGACGGAGGAGGGACGACAAGGGAAGCGGGGCACGCATGAGACATGCATACATTCATAAAAAAAAAACTTCCTGGTTGGCAGCCCTTGAGCTGTGAGCTCTCAATGTAGGCTGTGTACAAGGCAGCTGCAAACCAAAATCGACAGGCTGGGAATAAACGGAATGACCCACACACAAATAAGGTCAGACAAAAAACGAACCGGCTTGTATACTCGCGCTCGACGTGGGAGTCACGACAGTCCGGTGGAAAGCAACAAACTGGTGGTAAGCGTGTCGCTCTTATCTGCTCTAGGTTGGCGGGGACAAGAGAGCTACGAGAACGTGCGAGGGCACGAGTTCAACCACGCTCGAACCTTACCACCGAGGGAACGATGAAAAGAGAGAATCTAACATAACACACCATCCCCCATGTGCCTGTAGGCATTGCCTGCGTTGTTGGTTGGTATTGTCCACTTCATCGGGAGCGGTGAGAGAGAATCGAACACAAAATAACTATATCGATGTGCGGTGTGTACCTGCATGCGTTGCCTGGGTTCTTTGTTGGTGTGGCCTCCTGCACCTCGTTTTTTTCCGGAAAAAAGACCAAAATCCACCCCAAACGTATCTAGCAAACTGAATGGCGAACACGTCAGTGGGTCATGGACATTCGAAGTACATATGTCATTGACTCTCTACGCAATTCCAGACCCTGCCCGCCTTCGACGACGTTTATTGGAACCCGAGGGAGACTGCAGCGGGCGGGGTGGGCGCCGAAACAGGAGGCGCTATACACGCCACTTCAACTCCTGCGTCGGCTATTTACTAAAATAAGCAGGCCATGTGTGACGACGTGCGGCTCCAAATAATCGCAATACTGATGCGGCTGCCTGCTGCAATCATAATAAAAACCAGAGACCGATGAAAAGGTGGGGTAGTGTGTAGGAAAAGACGCTAAGAACACGGAACGAGAGCGCGTCTCGCCGACAATAAATCAACAAGAAGGTTGACGCTTGAAACAAATGCACAAATTTGGATTTTACGCAAGACACCTTCAGTACTTCGCGGTTGGAGCACGCGATGACTTCGCAGGGCTTCCTTCTGCAAACACACGCGCAGGCCAGTCGCAAAGCAACAAGTAGAGCACCTGCTGTAAAACTTGGCGAGAAACTCCTGCTCCCTGGAGGTAAGCACCCTGACACCGGCCCCGCCTTCGCCCAGGTGCCCCGCGAAGCTTCCCCCGTGGCTCCCGTCGTCATCGGAATCGTCGCGGGAGGACAGTTTCCTGCGCTTTGGGCCGCATCTCCTGCGGGGGGGGGCAGAGCACGGACACACCCACAACACCGAGAGAGGTCGCTTAGAAAATTCGATGCCTGTATCCCTTTCACACGCTCATACATGCCCACAGGACCGCCTACGCAGGATTCTAAGAGTATCTGGACCCTATCCCTAACCCCAACCTTAACCCCAAAGCACAGATTGAATACTTTATCTCATATGTTTGCTTCATCGATTTTGCTGCGCAGACTACTGTGCCCACGAAGGGGAGAGAGAGAGAGAGAGAGAGAGAGAGAGAGAGAGAGAGAGAGAGAGAGAGAGCTACCGGTAAAGGTCGATGCCTGACATTGGTCAGCCGAATATTAGCCATATGAAAAACCGCGGATGTTATCGGAGTGGGGGTGGGGGTAGCTACTGCAAGGCGTCGCAAATGAAGCTGGCATTGTCGCAAGATAAAAAAAAAAAAAACACCTTCACTAGATACTATTTTTTGCAGGACCGCGGCGAGACGCTTCAAGCATCATCGTCGACGTCGCATATTTTTCACGCAAACACGTGCACATCTCTCTTGCTGTCACCGTGGCGTGCTTGAGTGTTTCTTCCACACTTTCGTGGTCGTCGCCGTCATCGTAAACTATTTTACTGGCGTTTTTGCGCAAGAAATAAAATCTGCTCCTTTGATGCTGGTCAATCTTACAAAACTATGAAGTCTTTCCACCGTGCGCAGGTATAACTAACATTGCGGACGGACGCGGACACGCACATCGGAAGAGGCATCGAATGTTGTGCTGTTTATCGTACCGAGCACGACGAGCACATCGCTCGCCACAGAACGTCAACCAGCGCAGCAGTGTAGACATAGCGGGACAGATTGGTGGCAAGCACACATCAAAACCCGTCACGGTCAATGATATCGAGCCTGCCGAACTTCCCCGACACGGAGTGAGCAGTCTTAACATAATGATACTGCAACCACGCCAGTTGCGTGCCATATGTGGCAAGCAAGACGCGTGACGCTCGGCATGTATGTGCATGTATGTGATATGGGTCGTGTGTGTGCTGCAAGCTGCATAATCTCCGCTCTGTCGATCTCTCAGCGAGCAGCTGGTATGCTTGGACCCACGCAACAACACAACCCGCTATCGATGCAGGACCACATGGCGCATGGCTCTATAACCACGATGCAGGTCGTATAGGCTCGGCTTCTGCTGCTCTCGATACCTGGTCTGGATGTATGTGCGGATGTGCGGGGGATACGGATGCTCGGGGTATCCGTTCGAGGTGGTCGTTTTCTGTTCGCTACCCCTGCAATTATTGCTTGCAATTTTTTCTATATGGCAAAATCTCACGGCATACGTATTTGGGCAGAATTCGCTTCGGAGGAACTTAAAATACCCCGAACTAGTCGTTACGAGCCAACCTTTGTTCTGTGCAAACACGTCACACTATTACCATTTCTACCACTACTACTACCGTTTCTTCCCCAGTACAACAACAACTACTACTACTACTACAATTATCCTACCACTGCTCACTCACTTCTTCTCCCTGTACACGCACTCCGAGCCCCGCCGCTGGCAGCGCTTGCACGGGTGCCCGCCGTCGCACTTGATCTTGCCGATCGTGCACGCATCGCATGTTGTGCGGAGGTTGTTCTCGTCGTCGTTCAGATCCAGCAGAGAGACGTTGCGGTCTACACCCCCGGGCGGCGGTGGTGGCGGCGGCGCACCCCCACGCTGCTGCTGTGGCTGTGGCTGGGCGGGGGGAGCGGTAGCCTGATTTTCGCCACCGAAGGGATCCCCCATATGCCCCTTGTTTTTGCGCCCGTTGCTAATGTTGCCCCTGTTGCTGCCGCCGCCACCGCCGCCGCCGCTGTTGCTACTGCCGCTGTTACTGCTGTTACTGCTGTTACTGATGATACTGTTGTTGTTGTTGTTGTTGTCGACTCTGCCCGTTCCAGAAGTATGGCGGGCAAGACCGACCCGCGCTGCTCTGAGGAGCGTGTCCTGGTACACGTTCATCCACGCCAAAAAAAGGGTAAAAGCACAACATCCCAAACACGACGGCAGCACGAGGGCGGGGGGAGGGGGCGAGGTGGTCGTCATTGTCAGAAACCTGGGTCAGTACACGCGAGAACACGTGCACCGTACCCCACGTAACACATGCGGGGAACGAACACGTTCCCTGGCAGGCGGCGTGTACTAACCCCCCCCCCCGAACACAACCGGGAAGAGGGAACTCAGAATTTTTCCCTGGTGGGCCGACCAAACACACTAACGATCCTGCAAACGAACGTGCCCCTCAAGGTTCATCCTCCTTTTGGACGATCCCGTCGCTGTGATAACTAAACTCGTTCATAAACACCTTCCAACACAGCCATGTGGAACACGGGCTCGTGGCAGGGGCAAGACGGAAAACAAACTCAAAAGAGTGAAGCATCAGGTGCAACCGTTACACACACAAAAAGTTGTAAAGCGTGACGTGCCGTGATTTGTGATGTCCGACTTTCGTATGTATTTGAAATTTGAAATGATTTCAGCTGCAAGAAGTTACAACTTTGTTGTCACAGATTTCAAGCAATCCACGACGTGGTGCGATGTGTGTGATCATGTCGGGTCAAGCGATATAGGTGACGCCACCACTGTCTGCTGTATGGCATGCCAAGATATCGGAAGCGAATCCCTCGGTGTAGCCGTTGTACTGGGGCAGAAAGAGTGCCAAAGAAGACGACAAGCAGTCGTGAACCCCAACCAACAGAATCAATTGGCCTTGCAGAGCACTCTCGATTGCACGGCGAGCACCGCCGGCTCCATCTGACACCTACTTAGCACGTGTAAGACGATTTGCGCTCTCTGTCGCCAACAGCTTGCACCCAAACCTACACCACTCCGTTTCCTGAATAAAAGTATTTCACTCCAATTTCTGCCTCTTTAGGTTGCGTTCTTTGCCTCCGAGTGCCTGCGGGACCGCACGTGCGTGTTGATGTTCGAATACTGCCGTCGTGTGGGACATGGCCTCTTGGACACAACGACATGAAACAGGGTCCCTGTTCAGTAGAGGGTTTTCGTAGTACTGAACTCGGCCTAAACGGTTCAGGGAACAGGGGATCCGACTTCTAATGTCCCCTGCTCTTGTGTTGTGTACCTGGGTTAGCACACACCCCTTACGGCGAAAACGACATCGAACTGGGAACGCCGACTCCTAAGCTTACGGTTCCCTGATTATCTTTTCGTGTGAGGGGTTAGGATACGCCCTCACATGTTCGGGACGCACCTGAGACACACAGACTGGTTGTCATTGCATGCACGGTGAAAAACGAGCTTGTGTCGATTCTGGCGCGGAGAGTGCGAAGAAAACCGAAAATAGACCTTGAAGCATCTTGAGAGAAATCAACAACTGCGGTGTACGATAATAATATACCACTTTCGGCAATCATCAGCGGACTCGCTCTTGATCTTAGGGGGGGGAGGGGGAGGGGAGACTCGTCAATTGACCTCCGGACTTACGCTCGATACGGAGCTACCTTTCGCCCGAGAGGGCGCTTTTGGCGCCTTCGTGGGGATTGCCGCATGCAAGGAGAACATGCGGAGCCTAAACGAGCAGTGGTGATTTTGATGAACGGTGCACAAACCGTGAAGTAATGAATGATACGGCCACGTTTGGTAGCACCAAATCCACAGCAGTCAAGATGGACGTGACGGTCGCTCTCGACCGGCTATAAAAGATACATGGCGTGTTGTGCATGGCAGGGTGGTACTAGACGGCGAAACCCAGACGAGCAAGCGATTGCGCAACCACATCAGACTTTACTACTCCTATAATACCGGTATATCAACCGTCTCAATTTCAAAGAAATTAGTTTTGTGCCTTTTTTTATGCGGAATCATCGACTACTCGTTGTTCACGGAGTTAATGTTGCAGAATTTCGCCTTCGAGGTATGCACACATGCTCGGTAACATGCTTCAACATTACACAGGTCCGACTCCGCGCGCATCTGCATGCATATATATATCATGGCCTAGTCTCTATTTTCATGCTGTACTTCGTAGTTTTCGCACTCCACGAGACTGCTGAGTCCACGATTGGCGAACAAGAATGCGCGAGCATCAGCAGTAGTGCCGCTAGGGGCACCCATAACTTTTGACGGCAGCAACAAAGATAGAGCAGCGGGGGCTCTCCCCTTGATTCGTTCTGTTCTGCCACGAGACTTGAGGAGCCCCATGGCCCTACAGCATTCACTAGCAGCTCGCGACGAAACTTGTTTGATCTATGCATACATAAGTTATCGCACAATGGGTCGAGCAGCTTTTTGAGGCCCGTTGCCTTCACGTGCATCAGTAGTTTCCACGAGCACATTGATCGCGGTTTTAGCACTATCTATGTACCATATGTTAGCGGGCGGCGGGACATAAAATTCTTCACGGCGGTGAGAAAGGATCTACAAGTACACATCAGATGCCGAATGCGCTCGCAGGACTGCTGCTGCTGCTGCTGCCAGCGGTATATACAAGTATTTATTTGCAGTATTTGCTGCTGTTGTGTGCTGTTTTACTCCCCTTCGAATAAAAAAACATGCTGCACTGCTGCACGCTCTGACCCCAGGGAGAAAAGGGACGGGAGAGCCGCATCAACTCGTCTCGAACAGCAGTAGTGGACCACAGCGCTTGGTTCGCCGGTTGCGCATGATGATGTAATGTGCTACAGAGTACATCATCCACGTATACATTACACAGCGAACGCTGCCCAGATGAAAATTATGTGTAGATCGATCACACACACACTACAGCCAATCGTCGCTTTTTCGTTGCACACCACAAAAATCTCCCTGTGTTGGTGTGTGCCATGATGTGTGTTACCCTGTTGTGGGTATCCGGCAACGGACACCTTTGCAGCAGCGGCATGTTTAGCACAGCAGTCTTCCCCTCTGCGGATGGTGGCCCTCGCACCTGGTTGCTGCTGTCCGGTGTGCTATCTCTTTCAATTCCCAAACCTCTCGTTGGCTCACCTCTTGTAGTTGGCCTGCAGCGCAAGCTGCTATTGCTGTAGGCAGAGAGATGGGTGAGCTCGTCTGCTCGGTGGATGATGGCTTGCAAGTGAGCCGATCGGTACGGTACCACTGTCCTGCTCGGGACGATCTCGGCGCCTTCTGCCCCGTTGTCCAGGCCGCCGAGAAGACCCGGAAAGAGGGGTATCTCGGGGCGTTGAGCTGGACCATTTTGCCTTTCTCCCGGGCTAGAGTTCGTGTTTCACCGATAATCCGAAAAAAAGGAGTACAATCATCATTCGTTGGACACCCCCGGCATACCTTGAGACGGAGCTCTGCCGGGTACTCGTCCTGACCCGTCACCATGCCACGTCGGTCCCGCGAGTCCTCGGAGCCTTCAGAAGGAGCGCCGGTAGCAGCCATGGTTTGTCTCCCTCTCCGGTGTGTGTGTGTGTTCCTTCATAAGCGGCGGAAAGAAATGGCGCAATGTTCATCCCGACATCCCGGCTCATTTATGAAAACACACGCGATATGTACCCGACGTGTGCTATTGTGTACCTCATTTGGGTAGCTTCGGGTAGACTGGTAGATGGTGGCGGTGATGTCTAGTGCTATGCATAAGAGTCTTGGTTTGGAGAGTGTGGTGGTGTACAGACGGGTAGGAACGGTGCATGGGTCAGAGAATGGAGACACCCAACAATAAGCCCTAGATTAAAAGCTCGAATGATTGTGATAACGTCAACCCTCTCTGGCTACACTTGTACCTGATTGATGACAAGAACTGGCTCTCTTTTTAGACATGATGAATGATGATGATGAACCAAACGGTCAATTTCGTACGCACTGCTGTTTTGTGCCTACACGCCTACATACACAACTTTTCACGGAGGCAACGAAGGCACACATTAATCATCAGGAGGCGATGCCCTTGTTTGTTTCCAGTCTTTTGCAGACAAAATATCGAGTTGGAACTCCTACGAATTGGCCTGCGCACGGTGAATTGTGGATGCCCCCGGTCCTCCCTCTCTGGATGTACCTCATTTTGTACGCAGTTGTGTCTGTGGATTGTGTCAGGCTTGGATCTATCGACATCATCACGTAGTGGTGCAGCCGAAGAAGGACGTGAAGACAAGAAAAAAATCAACAGATTACAGCTCCGACGTGCAGTAATCTCTCACCTTTAGTGAGCTTTCACCTGTAGCGAGTGGCGAGCTCCGTAAGTGCTGTATGCAGCATGACCAGAACACGATCAGAGTTGAAATGTTGCAATATGCCGCCGAATGATGTGTTCAGGGAAGGCATCCATCCGAGGGGATTCCGTGTACAAGGTCATCCCAAAACTTTTCACGAAAAAAAAAGAAAGTTATTCTTGGTTCTCTTCGGCTGTCGGTAAATTGTATCCCTATCATCGCGCTGTGCCCCCCTCGTCATGTTCCCGTACAAACAAGAGGCCTCCAGGCAGTATCCCGTACGACGTGTGTGAAAGGAGGGGGACACAGTGTAAGTTTCAGGTGAGAGGAGTGATGATGGTGGATGGATGTTGAGGATGGGCTTGCCTCTCCGTTCTCCGCATTCTTTGGCATGACTACTACAAGTAGTCTACCGTTCTCGCGAGAGGCAGAGGAGCTCGTCCGCTATTGCGACCCTGTGCATGTAGACTATCTGTCTATCTGTTCAGCCGCGCACGGGTTCTGTCGCCATGGTCTTCTCGATCAGAGGTCCGTTTCTTTCTGAGTGTCCCGGCTGTGGTGACGCATAGTCTGCACCAACAAACACTACATACAGCAGTATAGTAGGGGGTCGTACTGCCTGAGGAAGGG